TAATACATCTCGGTTTAGTAGTCTTATTAGGGCATTGTTTATATGTATGTTCCCCGGCGCATTGACTACATGTTGGTATTTCTTGTTCACAGTATTTGGTGGAGTGTCCGTATTTACAGCAACGGAAACATTGCATAATAGGGCAGAAGTCTTGAACTCTACATCGAGACCATTGTAAGTTTATTTTTCCAACCATAAGAAGGTATTTCCGAATTTGTGGTGAAACTTCTACCGCCCAATTATGAAATTGAGCATCTTTTCGTCCCATGCTAAACTTTATTTTAAATTGTTCCTTAAATTCTATTTCTGAATAATTCTCATGTATGATATTATTTTGCTCATATATATAATCTTGGAGTTCTTCACGCAGTAATTGTGCAGGCACAGAGTATAGTACAATATGTGGATTTCGTTTCTTAGGTTTCCTGACTATTAGTTCTGGTATTGATTCTTGTACACAATTCTCAAGTTTTGTTAGATCACTTTTATTGTTTAAATGTATTGCAACGCCTCCTCCCCCTATGCGACGTATTCTTTCTACTCCGATGCCTAATGCAATAGGATTTATACGTTCTTGTATGATTTTACGTGTATTTTCACTGTTTTTATTGTCCTCTTTGTTATAAATTAGTAGAACGTCTTTAGACGGCTTAAGTGTAATATTAGCAGTAGCTGAATTAACAGCTTTGCCTGATTGCAGTACTGAACTGTATGAAGGGGTAATTATTACGTCTTTATTGTTACTATTGCCTATTGTATCAATTTTATTGTTAATCTCCTTAAGCATAGACAAAACACTGTTCTCTTCATAGATTTTGATTACTCTATTAATACAGTCAAAGATAAAATCTGCGTGACGGGAAGTTGAAAATTTGCTATGTGAATTTTCTGCAATATATTCTTTTAATTCAGTGATTACGTCATTTGCAGCTGTACGCGCTGCAATGATGGGTGGACTATCAGCCATGACTATAGTAATGCCAATGAGGTAGCAATGAAATGCAACTAGAAAAACGGATAAAAAGCGCAAAATCAGACTATATATTTATCCGAAATATATTATTTAGAATCTTTGTGTCACCCCGATTCCAAAAATATATAATAAGTACTATATTAAATAAAAAATAGTCTAGAAAAAGCGAAAAAACCGTATGATCAACTGGAAACGACCTTTGCCTTGGCAACCAACGTTCAGTGAGAAGTTGATTTTAGAACTCAATATAAGAATCGCCATAGTTTAAATTATATCTGTCCGATTTTAACGAAATTTTACGAAAAATTTACGTAAATGGTCCTTAAAGAAATACCCAAAAATTATTTTGATAGGTCCAACTGGAAGCCTAAAACTCGTGTTCCACCGCCGACCGGAAGTAACATTAAAAGGTCAGTAAATAATGGGTCTAGAACCCCAAATTTTGGTAACCAGAGTTCTATAGAGGTCACGGATAGAATCCGATAACAAAATCCGGTAAATCAAAAATTCAAAATCCGGATAACCGAAAATTACGGTTTTAAGCAAATAATTTAAAAAGGGGTGGGATTTAAAAGTCCTACTTGACGTTATGTCAATCCTCTTGCCTTCCGATATACGTAAACACTAAATATAATATCCTCCGACCTGAATTACCGCAAAAATCACAAAATAATCACAGAGCACATTTTGTAGCATCCAATCCTCGAACATTTCTTATTCCTAAGGGAAGATTCTGTTTTTATTAAACATTCTTTCACATTGATGTATGAAAGTGAAAGCTGGGTCAGAGCCGTAACTAGCCATTCCCGTGCCCCGTGCAAGAATTTGCCTTTAGGCCCCTTAATTTATTTGGTTTTGGGAAAATAATAAAACATACATTACAATAGATTTTTAATAAGAGTTATTTTAATTGAATTTTTCTGGCTTTCATTTCGGCAAATTCATTAATTGCACCATCATAATTAATATTTTTAACGATATTGTATTCTATGGAAATATTGGATAATCGTTCTCGTCCGATAGTTGATCTTAAATAATTTTTTAAGTTTAACTGGCTAAAACCTCTCTGGCGCGAAGCGATAGAAACGGGAAAAGTTAGAAATATTCGAAGAGCGACATTGATATTTGGGTAAGACTCGATTAAACCAGCTTGTAGAATATTAAGCGGAGATGCGGTTTCTATATTTTCTATAAAAGTCGTTACTTCAAAATTAAAATTTTCGATTTCACTTCTGAATTCGTACTTTTGTTAAATCTTTGCTATATTTAATAGCGAGATCTGCATCTGAATTTTTTAAATCGGCAAACTCGTGCATTGTAAAGACCAGCCACAGATAATTTTCATTTTTTTCATAACGCCAGTCTACTTGACACGATAGAGTGTCGAGAACGCTGTAAATTTGTATTTTAAATAATTTTTCCTTCATCTGGCGTTTTATCTAGTTCCATTATCTTAACTCATTTTTTCGTTTATTAAGAAATCCCTTTTCTATACTTTTTGGTTTGTTTTAAGAATATGATCGATAACAGCACTTGTTAATATTGTTGGCCATAAAGCTATATCATTTATTACTTCCATTATCTATATATATCGAAGCGTTTTTCTGGACTATTTCTATCTTCTGCGTTTTCGCAATCCCTTTTTTCGGTAGCATTTTAAAGACTGCGGGAGCCCCTTCGGGGCCCTGCGCGCCCGCGTAGTTCGCTTACCGCTTAATTCGCCGTTCAGTACGCAAACCGTATGCGTACTGCTATAAAGCAAAAAATGATGTCAGAATTTCTGCACGCCTTTTACAACCTCGAGACTAAGATTTCATTCGGGAGTTATTGTTTTCAATTTAGTAATTTAAAAAAAATCCTCGGACAGATTAATTTTTCTTACAAAATGTTATCTTTACAGATTTCTAGCTCCGCACACTGTAGAAAAATCTAGAAATACAGTTTTGTATATCGTAATAATAGTAGTTGCCAGAGAGCTCTATAAAGTAGAGAAAAATCTATAAATTTAAATTTCTCAAAAAATAAATTAAAAAATCTCAAAAAGTCGCTACTTTTGGCTGATTTGTCTGAGGTCTCTCCGCTACCTCGCTACGTCCCTCTAAAAGTCGCCACGGTTGGGAACACCGGTGAGCCCACATCTAGGGTCTAAGTAAGGCGAAAGGTAATCGCCAAATCGCGCTGTATAAAGGCGGAAAAATTTAAAAATATAATTTCTTGCGAACGGCAGTTCGGGTCCCCCTTCCGAGCGGGTTCTCCCTGCACCCGCCTAGTTATGGCTCCGCTCTAAAGCAGCCTTCTTTGATGTATACTCTAAACTCTGTGTATGGAATTACTCTGTATCTACCATTGTTTAATATCCTCGTTGCCCTCCCATCATTGTACAATTTTGCTCTTAATTATGTTCGTTATTTATGCTGTATTCATTGTCATAATTCATTGTTTTTAAATCCCGATAATGCTCAGCGAAAACAGGAAATGTAACTTATTTTAATAAAATTAATGATAATGGACGAGTGTCTTTATACGAATACGGTCGCAATTTTTTCGCCACGATATACGAATCCGCATTATAGGGGGGATCTACTGTATTATTGAATAAATGCTACAAACAGACGTTGTTTTTCATATATTCACTATTTTTAACAGATTACGTTCTCGTCTTGATAAATGGCCGCGAGGCCTCAAATAGCCGGAAGAACTAGAGACATAGATATTGCAGAGATATTAGGCTGCGGCCAGTGGTTAATAACGTAACGCGATTTCTACTTTCGTTCTTGCCGACATCGGTTCTCTAAAATATGTTGATTTTTTCCGTATTTTATGGAGAATCATACGAAGTAGGTCATCAAATTGTTCTACACATATTCTTAAAGAAGCGTACAAAACTTACCTATCTTCCGGAGTGGCGGATGCACCCAGGCGATTTCTTCCGCTAATCCTTTTTCACGCCCGTATCAAATTACCGTCATTTTCCAAGATTTTCAATAATTCGTTGGCAGTTTCGGTGGTTATTACCGAGATTCCAACGGGCACTAACTCACTCGACGCCATTTTAAATATCTGCTCGATTAGAATTACTGGCTTATAGTATGAACACAAACTCGAATTCGAGTAACTTAACCGATGTCAACGAGGCTTAATGGTAAGCCAATCGATGACGTTTTCCATTCGTGCATTCCCGGGGGAATATTTTGGCCGACTAGCGGTTAAGTAAACGAAAGCAGCTTTGGTACGGGAGCGTTTGTTAATCCGCGAACGTGACAACTTTTACTTCCGAGTAAAACGACAGCCCACGGAATAAAACAGCGCGATGATACCAGAGAATCCCGTAGATACTCCGCGTCGACATTAGCACTCGTTCTTTACGCCAGGAGGAGAATCGTTCGGCCACCGCAGCGCGTGCGTAATTATCGTCAATTGTCTGAAATAAAAGTAATAATTTTAATTTATAACGAGTACATTTTGTGTTCGAAGCTTGTCGTCCCATTCAATTGTCGTATTTCTTAAATCTCTCAATTCCAAAAATGGAGAAGGCGTATTAATTTAAAAGGGCCTGGCAAAATTAACCACGGAATTGTCGTTTTAATACGCATTTCGGGTGTCGGTCGTTGTCAATTCTTTAAAGTCACCGGGAAAATATATTCTTAGTTTAAATTAACACACGAAAGACATTATAGCATACGCCGAGTACTAAATATACGGTATAAAATTTTTAAAACTAAAACGAATTTACTGCATTTCGTCCAAGTCGGCGTTTTTTTCCAAATCGCCATTGCTAAGGTAATACGGGAGTACAGTACGTAGTCTAAAACGTTTTAGCGATAAAATGCAATATAACACAACCGTTTGCCTGCCGGACCGACTAATTTTCCCCGCTTTTTTCGGCTAAATCTTAATCGGTTGTTGGCCGCCGCTCCGGGAGAAACGTAGCCAAACAATTCGGTGCGGCGGAGAACGAAGGTGGAAATTGTCCCAGAAGCGCGGACGATGTAAAGGAGCGGTGCCACGAACGTCGGGCGTTCTTCTTCCGGCAAATTCGACATTACAATCGGAATAGGCCCGGGTTTGGCGCAAACCCGACGTCCGTAGCTATTAAACGAGACCGGGTGTTGGGTAAATACGTAGAGATTGGGCCGGCCGAGAATTTATGGCCAGAAAGCCAGATTTCCGCCGGATCGTCTCTCGGGCAGCGAACGGCGGCATCTTCCTCCTCTCCAAATTTGTCGTCGGCGCCGTTCATCCTTCGGGAGAAGACCGGTCGCCGGCTGGGGTCGGACGGCGGGCCTCCCGGCCGGCCAACAGGGCATCGCGTTCTCTGCGCAGCTGACAAAACTGTTTCTTCAGCGCGGCGTGCGCTTCCGGCGAAACGTTCTTCCTGAAAAGAGAAAATCGTCGTTAGTTCCCATCAGGATTTTACGGCAAGAATTTAAATTTCATTAAAATTTAATTCTTCCATAACTATAAATATCGGCATCGTTTCCGGACCCCTTTCCTAGAGGGCCGGTAAAATTTATACAACTTTACCGGTGGTGTATAAATTTTACCCGTCTCCGGTTAGATAATCCCATCGATAGTAAATGCTTACGAAGTTACCGAAGCAGTAAATTAGCTATTTTTTGTCATTAACGGGGGTCGTTCGATACATTTTTTTCGCCCAATTTTGTGGGAAAAAAGTACATTTTGACGGCAACGTCCTTCCGCCTACCGGCATCATCCGTAGTATTTCGTCTTTCTCCGTTGTACCGCCACACTACGGTAGCTTCGAAAACGGGCGCCACCGAATTTATTTTGGTAGAAAACGAAACGGTGGCAAGTATTAACTAGCTCTTAAAGAATGTTTACGGATAAAAACGTCGAGTAAAAAGTTATCGAACGAGCGACGAGTCGGCCGAAACGCGGACCGGTACCGGTACCTTGGAGCGTCGGTGCTCCGGCACTAGGCGAGGTAAGGTTGTAAACGCCCGCCAAGACGACGTAAGAAATAGGCGTTTGCATGGGGGAACTGGGGTACGAAGTGCCGTATCTAAAACTAGAATAAAACTAACCCGCTGGGAGAAAAAGTGCCGCGTTACTTATCCAACAACCTCGGTATAAAAATATGGAAAACAAAGTAATGTTACGCATTACATAAACACGGTATTTTGATTTGGCCCACAGCCTATAGAACGGCTACTCGACCAACAGTTTTCCACACTGGTAAATGCAGAAAAAATTTATTACAGATTTCGTTCATTTTTCAAAACGCGCGTAGATGTTGGGATTTTTTGAGAAAATGCGTAAAACATTATTTCGGATTTTTTACGTAAAATTTTATGCCAATCAATATCCGGTTTCGTTATCGTTACCGGAGTACCTGGATTATCGGAGTAGCGACACGCCGTGTTCCGTCGCCTGGCCTAGGGGCTTACATTAGAAACGACGATTATTGCAGTTTAATAAAGCATTTTATTCGTTTTTTTTATTGGAGAATATGGCGGATAGACGAATCTTACGGACTGGATAACTTTTAAATCTCTAGCATTAGTATTTTTAAATAAAAAAAATTAATTTTGTTTACTTATTAGAAAAACTTGGAACCTGGCGTAAACTTTCTCGCCACCACTCCCCGAAATAGGTCGGTTAATCAAACGATACGACACGAATCCCGTAACCTTTTTTCGAAATTATTAAACGGTTATTTGTTATTAACGCGCCGCGCCGTCTGGGCTTCCGCGTCGAACGAGTCGCCGACCCTCCGGTGGCGTAATCCACCGCTTATATTGTGACCGATGAGGGGCGTACATGTTTTCGCTTTCATTTTTTGAAAACGTGACGACCATAAGTCTTCCTCGCTTAACTTAGGAGCTACTTTGAAATTTAAGTTTTGTTGTTGTTCTAGTAATTCATTTACATGCCGCCACCATATTATATCGGTCGGAAGATGAAAATTTTCTTTCGTTTCTTCCGATATTTTTATAATTTTATTTCTTATTAGCGTACTTTTTATATTTTTAAATAAATGTGGTACATCTGCCAGCGGATAAATCTTTTTCTCCGAATTTAAAGGATGCTTTATGGAATTTACTATTTCGCCGCCATGTTCCATTTCTTCCATAATGTTTTGTTGGACGATCCGGTGTCCGATGTAACCTAATTGTCCGAGGCGAGTAATTATTTCAAATATATGTTCGTATAAACGTCCGTCTACGGAGTTACCCGTGAAATAGTAAGCTACGACTGGTTTCCGTCGTAAAGTAATTCCCCCTAGCGTAATCGCCAATACGCCAGTCGCGGTCCCACAATGTACGGGTAAAGGTGACATCACCGATACGCGCGTTAGTACCGCTATCAAACATTTTTGAATTATTATTGCCATTTCGTCCAACAGAATGACGCTTTTTTTCTTGAATAATTTCGCTTTAATCTTTAAAAATTCAACGACTTCCGTTAGGATCCCACTTTCAAATTTTAAATTTCTTTGTACGGTTCTGATTGAAGGTAACGGAATGTTTTGTTTTAATAACTCCTGGTATCCACTAATTCCGCCAGAAAATCTTAATTTCCAAGCTTTTGGAATAGTTTTCTTTGACCATTTCATAAATTTGGTTTTTTTTCTGTGGCTGTCTGGGTCGTCATTAAGAATTAACCATGAGTTGATACCATTCGTTATCTTCTTTAGCCTTTTCTCAAAATTCCAATTCTATGTTTTCGTGTTACCATAGTGTTTACCTGTTTACCATTTTTTCACCTCATCTTCTATATCAACGGTGGGCAACCCCCGGCCCGCGGGCCAACTACGGCCCGCGAAAAGTTTCTATCCGGCCCGCGAGATGTTTAGAAGAAATTATAAATAAATATTTTTCGATGTAATTCGTCTAGTTTAAATTGAATATTATTTTCTCAAGTGTTGCGGCAGCAATGACAGGAAAAAATAAGGGAGTCATTTCCTTATTCAAACAAAAAATGGGAGAACAGAATTTTTCTAAATTATTTATATCTCATCGCATCATCCATCAAGAAAATCTATGTGCAAAAGCTATGCAATTAGAAAATGTAATGTCTGTCGTATCCAACTACATAGTGCTGTTTTTATTGTGTTTAAAGTCACTTAGATTTTACAAATAGGTGAGCCGTTCACAGCCCGGCACACGCATTTGTAAAATCTAAGTGAACAGTGTTATAGGGGGGGTCGACTGTAGTAATTAATTTCTTTTTATTTATTTATTTCATATTTGCTAAGTAAAAATTTACAGGTCACAAGGTGTCAATTAACTACTATGGCCCGTGGAAAAAACGTAAAATTTATTCTGGCCCATGTTATAAAAAAGGTTGCCCACCCTTGTTCTATATAGTTGTTTATATTTTTTTTAAATTCTGTTGTAATATAAATTTAACTTTTGTATGTTCTTTAGATAGATAATGTATCGCCATTTACAGAAATGTGTTCGGCTAATGCGGGTTATTCTATAAATGTCGAAGATGTTCCGAAATTTGTTGATTGCGTAACGGCAGTATGAGTAGTATGTACCGAAGTAACTTTTGCAGTTTTTACTCGTTTTATAACGGTGGAGGATCTTTCTTTTGCTGGTTTTCCGCCAATGATTTGTTTTGCCAATAAAAACCAAGTTGGAATGGCGTTACGCTTCAATTTCTTCTTCCCGTCGACTCTCACTTTTTCCCACGTTTGTGGTTGGAAATGAACTTGGCCCTAACGAGAATTATTCGTAGGTTTCCGATTTTCTCGGCGCGCTTCTTCGGCCCGAATTTTTCTCCGAACGGGATCTCTCGGAAAGCATTTCGTAATGTATCCTTTTACTTAAGCATTAGAACGACCAAAAGCCGAACATCCGGGTATTACTTCGGTGATATATGTGCAATAAAATTAAAGGGTATATTTTAAAACTGGATTCGAAATGACTTTTAAGACACCTTTAACGCATTCGACGGAACAACAATACCTTTCGATAAGGTCCGAAGTACTAGTGTGTTATTGTACGGGATGTATGAAGGAAGTCAAGTAATAGAATTAAATTTGTTTCGAGCACGATAACAAACTAACTTTTTAGAACAAAACTACAGTACAGCGTAATTACTACAGTACTCCAGTCAGATAAGCTTCGTTTGCTGGAACACTAATTTTTTACTTTTTCTAGCAAAAGAAACGTGCAAAATATAACAATTTATGCTTAGTTAAACACAAAAAGTTCTTTAACCATACATCACATTTTTTGTAGATGGACAGTTTTCTAAGGAGCGATAATTTCGGAAAAATTAGTAGAAAATTAAATTTTGATTATATTTTGCTACCTTACAGTAATTTTCGTACAATACAAACAGTTTATATATTTTCGTTTTAATGACATCGCTTAAGCACGCGTCGGATCTAATGTAAACAGATACGCTAACTATCGATTTTTTTTTCATTCGTTGCCTTAAATTAAAGCTTAAATGTGAACGTAAACATAAAAATGAAGCAGATTCGTGTCCATCTGTTGTCAAATGTGTTCAAAAACGTCTAGATTTCTTTATAAATGACTTTAAAGAAGACTTACCATTCAAAATATAAAGAGCCACGTGCACTTTTTGACAGAACACGGCAGATTTTAACCACGTGATACAAGTATCCAATAGAAAATTTGACAACCCATTGTTGCTACTCCGATAATCTAGGTACTCTAATTGTTACCGGTTGAAAATGTCAAAATGAAGATGACGATAATTACAAATTGTTAAAACTTGTAGTGATCCAGCAGTGATTATGTGATTTTAATTTTTTTCTACTAAAAATTATGAAAAAATTTAATTGTAACATCAAGGAACATTATTAAAAGTATAATAAAAGATATTTATTTATTCTGCGATTACTTTAATTTGAGAAAAGTTTCTTTTTTGAGTTACGTCGGTTGAAATATTAAAGAATAAAGCATGGGAGAGGCAAAAGCTTATTTCTTACTGAAATTCCACTATTACGTGATATTACGATTTAAATTATTAAAAAAATTGACTTACTGTAAGACTTGGTTTTCTGTCTCTAACTCCGAAACTTTAGCTTCCAGTAACTGAATTTTTTTCCTCAACTTAGCGATCAAATTCCCATATTGCTGCTTTTTCTAAAAATAAAAAATATTCATAAATTTTCAGATTGCGACTCAAAAATATATGACACGCGATGTCACATTTATAAATGCACAACAATTTGAAAATAATACAATATTTTATTTCCTATCTATCTCTGCCAACCTTCCCGGAAGAATATACATTGTACTGTACGTATAAAGTCCGTTTGTCCTATCTCGGTGCACGAAACAGAGTGGCCGTCTGGTCACCGTACGCTATTAAATATATTCTTTTATCCTTTGTGGAAACCTGCAGAAAGTTACAGCCAATTGACTATATAAATATACAGATATATGCTGGACCGTGGAATCGGAATACCCATCTAATGTGTCTTTACGATTACCAGAGTAGTTCTGCAAACTTTAAACAAAGTACTGTACGTACTTTGTCTTTTTATGCAAAAGATGCATTTTTATATGGGTTTATATATGCGCGCAATCTACAGGCTAAATCTTAAAAATATGTAATTTTTTAATCTATATTTTGGTGTCCACGCAAACATTAAAATTTGAACTTGTTTAAATTATACTAATAAAGTATATAAAGTTTTAGTTTATTAATTTTACTTTCCTGGCTGTTACATATAACGGGGAAAGTACTGCCGGAGGTAAAAAACTGGTCCCCCAATATTTTTAAATTTTTGAACTGGCATATCTTGAAACGTCAATAAATGCAAAAATATGGAGTTTATTCTGTAGGTATGGATGTTAGTTTGTGAGTTTCAGTGAGTAAGCTTGTACGCGTGGTGAAGCGTAATTTAATTACCCACTTTAAAGTTAATAGCTCCTGTGTCTTTTGTTGAAAATTTCTGAAATTTTACAGGGAGGTTTGTGAATTAGAAGAATTAATGCTATTAAATTTCGGTTAAAGGTCGAGGGGTCCTGCGCCTTATCTGGAGTGAGGCAGTGTTCCACCTTTTCAATTTTGAAAAGATAGCAACACTGTCTCAAACAAGTGGTAACCATTTTTGAAATTCGTTTTGTGTCGGCCATTGACAATGCAATAAACAAAGTGATACAGGACATAAGAGAAGTGCTACAAGAGCCCAAGTACGCTGTGTCTATAAGCTTGGACATTAAAGGAGCTTTTGATAGTGCATGGTGGCAGATTATTCTACATCAATTAAAGATAAATCATTGTCCAAGGAACTTGTACGAACTAGCGAAGAACTATTTTAACGAGAGAAAGGCAAGGTATATTTCAAATTACTTCAATGTTGAAAAGACACTGGAAAGAGAATGTTCGCAGGGCTGGAAGTCAGGGCCAAGTTTTTGGATAATCCAATTTGACATCATTATACATAAAATACTAAGGAGAGGGATTAGATGTACGGCATATGCCAATGATATCATGGTGGTTTGCCCAGGACATTCTGATAGGCACATTGAGATAGAATGCAGAGGCCTACTGGAAGAATTGTCCAGTGGAGAAAAGAGAACAAACTGCTCTTCAATTCAAAGAAAACCAATGCGATGATATTTGCTAAGAAATTTTCATCAGTCCTACAGAAAAGGCCTCCAATCATTAAGATGGGAAGTGAAAAGATTGAAGTAGTAAAACACATGAAAACACCTGGGTGTGACCATAGACAATAGGTTGAGCTGGAATCAGCATATAAAACAATTGAAGACGAAAAGCAATATTTTATTCAATAAGATAGCCCAGGTCGCCAATGGCACCTGGGGGCTAAAAACAGAAGCTATAGAAGCAATATACATTTTTTCATTAGATGGTCATCATTTTCCCTTATGGGGATCAGAGTCACCCTTGTCCCACTGATAGTACCACAAGGGAAACGTTTTCTTTATTCTTTAAACTTTATTACAGTCATACATTATTTCAAAGGAAGCAATATACAGTTGACTCCCCTATAACACTGTTGATTATTCCGTTTTATATGAATTCCATGTTGTACGAGTCACTTAGATTTTACAAATACCTACATGAGCCGTTCACAGCCCAGCACATGTATTTGTAAAATCTGAGTGACTCGTACAACATGGAATTCATATAAAACGGAATTATCAACAGTGTTATAGGGAGGGGTCGACTGTATGACGGTATGTTTATACTGATTATGACCTATGCAGCATTGGCCTGGAGTGGAAAGGCCAACAATACTATTCAAAAGAAGTGTCTTCAGCAGGCTGAGAGTGCTTCTAAGGTTGATGAGATGTTTTAGAACTACTTCTACCCAATGTTCCCTCTAAGCTGCGCGGCTGCACACTGCTCAAATTGTTGCCGCGCACGAGAATTTATGTGCATGCACACCGATTTGAATTGTTGTTTACTTATTTCTCACTCTGTTTGCAACATGATTATTGCAATGTATATTTCAATTAAACACATTAAATCATTGACAAGAGATAATAATTTGTATAAAAGTATGTTTTTAAATGAATTTTAATCTCTACTTTATAATTAATTATTTTAATTTTTATAGAAAAAAATAAGATTTTATATATATATGCTCAGAAAATTTTTTTTTGCTCAGAGAAGTATATGTTCTGCTCATCGACAAAAAAAATTAGAAAGAACATTGCTTCTACCAAGGTGCTAATGGTTCTAGCAGGCAAGGCACATAGAACTACTGATTGAGGATAGGGCCAAGAGGTATTGGCTAAAGAAAAATGAGGAAAATAACATGATAGATCTACCTATAGATCTAAGTAATTTTGAACGAGATGTTCCTGTCAAGAATCTGCCACATCCAGCTAAGAGCAGTGTGCTAATGGCTGATAACCCAATTAGGACAGATATATACACAGACTGCCCCAAGTCAGAATTTTGGACCGGGGCCAGTTATGTTGTTTACGAATGCAATGAAGAAATTCATAATGACAAGTTTACGTTGAAGTTGTATTGCTCCAATTATCAGGCTGAGCTATTGGCCATTGATAAGGCAGTGGAATGGTGCATAGAAAACCAAAGGAAAGAAGGAGTCTGTATTAATACAGACAATCAGAGTGCTCTACAGGCCCTAACTGATAGGAGATCCACACATCAGCAAGTGTTCAGGATACAGACTAAGTTGAGGAAAAATGGTATGATTGAGAAAATTCAATTCAAATGGGTCAGAGCACACACTGGTATTATAGGAAATGAAAGGGCCAGTCAAGTGGCTAAAGAGGTGACAAATGGGAATGATAAGATGTTTCACACAATCCCAAAATGTTGGGGAAAGAAGACACTTAGGGCTCAAACAATAGAAAAGTGGCAAGATATGTGGACAAATAGCATGAAAGGCCATAAGACCTTTGAATTCCTTCCAAATGTAGAGGAAAGACTCTCCCATCTCAAATGGTTCAGGAGAGAGCAGGAAGTGATGATATGTCTCTCTGGGCATGACTGTCTAGGAGAATATAGGAGAAGATTTAACCTGAATGGTGAGAATACAGGTAACCCCCGTATAACACGGCACTTCTATAGCACGGATTCACTCTAACACGGTTCGAGAATTGGTACCATCCCCTGTATAACACGGCACTTCTATAGCACGGATTCACTCTAACACGGTTTGAGAATTGGTACCATCCCCCATATAACACAGTACTTTTATAGCACGGATTCACTCTGACACGGTTCGAGAATTGCGTAAAACCCTCGTACAACATGAAATGTAATAAATTTTTACATACTTAACTAATAATAGTTCACGAAAATTATTATTTTCGTGAACTATTAGTACATTAAGTATGTAAATTTTCTCTTCTCGCCTTCTGTCGATACAGGTGGTCCTTCTTGAAACTTGTTTCAATGTTGCCAGATCGCGACGCTNTTAGTACTTAAGTATGTAAATTTTCTCTTCTCGCCTTCTGTCGATACAGGTGGTCCTTCTTGAAACTTGTTTCAATGTTGCCAGATCGCGACGCTTCTGCTTCTGAGGTTGCCGAATGTTTTCCCTTATTCCATACTTGGTTTATTCTTCATAAGTGCTTAGCACCATATAAGGAAATTTATGAAGACCTTTTAACTAGAAGCAAGCGGGACATTCCAATTTTCAACGCTGACTCAGCGCTGATCTCAACATTCGCTAAAATTCGTTTTTTTTTTCAACTTGAGGTAGCGCTGTTGTCAGCACTGACTCAAGACACTCAGCACTCAACAGATATGTTGACTGCTACTTTCCAATGAATTGTGGGTAATTGGTAAGACATTTGAATGGAATCCATCTTGCTGAGAATGGAATTATGGGAACTAAGCACTTCGTACTCGAGTTGGAATGTCATTGATGACGTCAAACTGTTGACTTCAACACTCAACACTCGCGTTGAAAATTGTTATGTCCCAAAGCAATCTAAAATTACATACATTTTGCAAAAGGTAAAGCATGGATCTGAAGATAATGCAGAAAAATGCTCAGAGGATAAGGATAACTTGCCAAAAAGAAAACGCTCTC